TTTCTTTCTTTCTTTTTTTAGACAAGGACTCACTCTGTATCCCTGGTGGAGCTTGAACTGCAACCTTCCCGCTTCAGCCTCTTGAGTACTGGGATTATAGGCATGAGCCATACCTGGTACTCCATGGGTTTAATATGAATATACATATATATGTGTATATATACACACAATATATAAATCATATGCATGAAACATATATATATATATTAGCTGCCTACTACATTAATGTCAATAGTATACTAAGGGAAAAATACTAATACAGTAACTAATTCCAGTATTTTGTACAGAGTAAATATAAATACTTTAAAAAACTAGAAAAAAACCAGGCATGGTAGCGCATGCCTTTAATCCCAGCACTTGGGAGGCAGAGGCAGGCGGATCTTTGTGAGTTCAAGGCCAGCCTGGTCTACATAGCGAGTTCCAGGACAGATGGGGCTGCAGGGAGACCCTGTCTCAAAAAAGACCAAAAAAAACTAGAAAAAGTTGGTGGTACAGGCCTGGAATCACAGCTACTCGGGAAGCTGAGGCATGAGCATTGCATTTTCAAGGCCTGCCTGAGCTATTGAGAGTTCAAGGCCAGCCAGGGCAACTTAGTAAGACCCTGTTTCCTAATGAAAAAAGGGCTGAGGATCAGGAATGGTGGCTCATGCCTATAATCTCAGCGCCCAGGAGGCTGAGGTAAGAGGACAGCAGTGAGTTCAAGGTCAGCCTAGATTACAGAGCAAGATTCTGTTTCAAAGTACACACACACACACAAATACGCAAAGGGAGCAGGGTCTATAACTCAGTGGTAGAGCACTTGTCTAGTATGTGTTTAATCCTAATATCACACAAAAAAAGAAAAAAACTAGAAAAATATGACATGTTCAGGGGCTAGAGATATGGGTCAGGGTTAAGAGCACTGACTGCTCTTGCAGAGGACCTGAGTTTGATTCCCAGCTCCCACATGGTGGCTAAGAACCGTCCTTAACTCCAGTTCCAGGGGAATCCAAAGCCCTCTTTTGACCTCCACAGCATTGCACGACACGGGTGTAGTCACATACATGCAGGCAATACACTCATACACATAAAATAAAAATAATAAAATATTTTTTAAAAATATGACATGTTCAACATACACCCATTTATATAAATATGTACAGATACCTGCATAGACACAAACATATCCATAAATATGCAAATCACCTAATTACTCATCTAACAAGTTCTGCCTTGATAAAGAGAGCATCATTTACCATTCATAGATGAAGCTAGTTAAGGATTTGCTAAGTGGGCCTGGTGATTACACTGACGAGCTTCAACCTAGGGAACCACTTTACTCCGAACTCTTCTAGTCAAAGCCTAAGGGGTGACTTTCTTTAATGTTTAACCTCTGAAATTCATTATTGGCTAGACAACTCAGAGCATCACTTAAGACACAAAGTGGTACTTACCATGAGCTATAATGTGTATGGATGTAGTGGCTACCTTTTCCTAACTCCTGGTTAGTGATCTAGCAGTGAAGTCTGTGCTGGGAAACCGCAGCTGCATTGAAAATTCCAGCTTCCATATGTAGAACACTTTGGTCCTCCTAAAATCATTGAGAGCCTGCTCCTGGGGCTCAGATTCACTATCAATAACGCCTTTATTTTATCCTTTACAGCTCATCTTTATGGCATGTAGGTTACAGCATTAGAAAATCACAATATAATTGAGGTGTAATTACGTATTCCTGAAATCATTTGGAAAGAATTCACAGCATCATCTCTCATACACAGAACAAGTCAACAAGTCAGTAAATCACAGTATAAGAAACTGGTTTTCTCCCAGAATTTGGTATCATCTGGCTTTTTCTGTCTGGAGCAAAGATGAAGGCGGATCCAAACCTAAACATGTCATTGTTCCCTGGGGAAAACTTCAGTCACTCCACCCTCCAAGTTCACACTTAATAGCAGTAATATCCATTTGCACATTTCTACCTGAATGACCTCACACAAACTGTTTAACCTACTGATGTATTCATTTCTTTATCTATACAATAAAGATAATAAGACACCACCTGCCTTGGGGGCTACAGAGATGGCTCAGTAGTTAAGAGCATTGGCTGCTCTTGCAGAGACCTGGGTTCAATTCTCAGCATCCACGTGGTGGTTAACAACTGTCCATAACTCTGATTTGAATCCAACACCCTCTTCTGTCCTCTGTAGGCATTGCACAGCATGGGTGCACTTACACACATGCAAGCAATACACTCATACATATAAAATAAAATTTCTTTTTTAAGAAAGAATACCTGAGCTGGGTATGATGGCACGCGCCTTTAATCCCAGCACTTGGGAGGCAGAGGCACGCAGATCTCTGTGAGTTCGAGGCCATTCTGGTCTACACAGTGCGTTCCAGGCAGCTGGGGCTACAGGAAGACCCTGTCCCAAAAAGACCAAAAAATAAAAATAAAAAAAAGAACACCTGCCTTATAGTTAATAGTGCTGTACTGCACTCATAAACTTTTGTTAAGAAGACAGACCTCATGTCAATAATGAAATAAAAATTTAAAGAACACTTATCTCATTGGGTTTAAAGAAGTTCAAATAAGAACAAAATGACCAGAAAAGTGACTGGCACATACTTTAAAATCAATAAGCAAATGAACAAAATATATGGTATATGCTCTCTGTCCTTATTTATAGCTTATAGTCACAACAAGACTATGAGATGCTTAAGGAAGAAAAAGTTTTATGAAGTCCCTTTGTATTGATCTTTACTGCGGCAGTTTGTATAATGGTTCAGGAAAATCTCACTCACCTTCCCCAAGGATTATTCCCTAAAGTGGGGTGGTGCACCCTTTAGTCCCAGCACTTGGGAGGCAGAGGCAGGCAGATCTCTATGAGTTTAAGGTCAGCGTGGTCTACAAAGTAAGTTCTAGGCCAGATGGAGCTACAGGGAGACCCTGCCTCAAAAAACAAAAAAATCATAGACATTAGATTTGACAAGCCAAACTGCCTATTCCTTTTATGGATTATTTTACTATTTGTTTTGTTTTTTGGAGAAGGGCTCATGTAGCCCAGGCCGGCCTTGAGCTTTGCTATGTAGTTGAGGACAACCATGATTTTTCCAACCTTCCTGCCTCCATATTCAGAGTGCTTATAAGACTTGCTTTGGGGGTTGGAGGGTGCAGATAGGGGAGGGGGTCTAAATATGACCACGATGTACTGTATGCAATTTGCAAAAATTCAGTTATAAACAAGACTTGCTTTGGCTAGCTGCATGTGGAGTTGCTTTGTTATATCCTATCTGAACAGAGCTCTTGGAAGCTCTATAAGAATTCGCCTTCCAGGGTTGGAGAGATGGCTCAGCAGTTAAGAGCACTGACTGCTCTTGCAGAGGACCCAGGTTTGATTCCCAGCACCCACATGGTGGCTATGAACCATCCTTAACTCCAGTTCCAGGGGAATCGATACCCTCTTCTGATAGGCAATACATTCACATACATAAAATGGAAATAATAAAAAAAATATTAAAAAAAAAAGAATTTGCCTTCCCTCTTTAGATTCTGCTGAAACATTTGCAAAAACAATATACCCGTTTACTCTGGATCTCACAATGAAAAGACACGAAACACAGGCTTAGCCTTGACTCTCAACTTGGAAGTAAGTCACCCCATCCAGAGTTTCAGCTGACTTACAGACCCATGAATGAGGACTGTTTGTCACCATAGCAAACACTGACTGGTACACTCACCATGTTGTATGATGCCATGCTCCATAAGCCGGTGGCAAAGCTGTTCTGCCTCTTTCCTCGTTGTGGCCTCACCTTCCTGAACCAACCAATCCAGGAATTCTGATGCCATGAAGGTACGCTCATACTTCACCCCTTCCTCTTCCCTAGGCTGTAGGAGTGTAGTTTCAGGACTCATCAGCCTGGAAAGAAAAAAGAAGGGAAAAGAAAAATAAAGCAAATGTACACAAAAAATGGCATCTTTGACATCCAACAGCGGGGGCTTCTGGGAAGCATCACAGCAGAGCTGTCAGACAGGCAGATGCAGCTGTCACATATTGCCAGAGATGTAAATTCCGAGAGAGGAGCTGCATCAGAAGTGAACAAGATGACTTTCCTCCTGATAATTAGATGAAAACTGGAAATGCAATCTACAAGTCTACCGTTCATAGACAGCGTTCAAGTTAGCCACCTTGAAAAGCAGTTGCAGAGCTGGGGTATAGCTCTGTGATATAGTACTTGCTCAAGTCCTGGGTTCAGTCCACAGCACTACCTCCACACCCCAAAAGTGGTACAAGTTTTAGAGTTTACTAGCCCATCTTTCTAAAATGGCTCAAATGTCTTTTCTATAATCACTATTCTTTTTCCAAAATCATTGTGTTAAGACTACATTAAGTAGGTGTTTGTGCCCCCTCCCCTCAATTCATATGTTGAATCCCTCTAATCATTAAAGTGTTGGTATTTGAAAATGGAAACTTTCTCAAGGGATGGTGATGCATACCTTTAGTCCCAGCCCTCAGGAGGCAGAGGCAGGCAGTTTTCTGTGAGTTCAAGGTCAGCCTGGTCTACGCAGTAGTAAGTTCCAGGCCACCTGAGGCTACAGGGAGACCCTGTCTCAAAAAGACAAAAAAAAAAAAAAAAAGAGAAAGAGAGAGAAAGAAAAAGAGAAAGAGAGAGAGAGAGAGAGAAAGAAAGAAAGAAAGAAAGAAAGAAAAATGGAAACTTTGTCCATGAGGCTATTGTGGGATTAGACATAAAAAAGAGGCCATCAAGATGGCTCAGCTTGAAATTGCCATGCAAGCCTAATGTCCATCCCTGGAACCATGTAAAGGTGGAAGGAAAGAACCAACTCTTCAGAGTTGCCCTCCACATAGTCTGCACACACACACATGCACATACAGGCGTCTTGCACACACACAAATAATAAGAAACAATGTTAATTTTTAAAAAGAAGAGATACATGAAGACCTTGTTTTTTTCCCCTCTGCTGTCTCCATGTGAGGCTGTAGCCAAAGATAAACAGGAAACAGGAAACATTGGCAAACAGTAAACAGGCCCTCATCAGACACTGGACTTGTTTGCATCTTGATCTTGACTTCACAGATAAGTGTTGTTTAAACCTCCCAATCTGTGGTATGTTTTTGTTATAGCAACAAGAGCTGACCATCACAACTGCATACATGAACCCTTTAAAAGTCTCTCTATTGTTTGCTTCTCACACTTTCCTTACCCTGTCTTCTCAGGTCTTCCTTCCCTCCCTCCTTCCCTCCCTTCTTCCCTCCCTCCCTCTCTTCTTTCCTCTCTTTATTTTCTTTTTGCATTTTATTTTCATTTTATTTTGCTTTGGTTTGAGACAGGGTCTTGCTATAAAGCCCAGACTAGCTATGGCTTCACTACTGTACACCAGGTTGGCCCTCCAGGAATCAGCTCCTTCCTTGACAGTTAACCTTCTGGAGGTCAGAGTCCCTGTCTCTGCAGTTTACAGCTGTTTCCTCACATAAGAGGTTTAAAAAAAAACTGATGAACGAATAAATTAAGTTCATTATCATGTGTTCCCTGCTACACATCGTCCAAAGAACTCCCTTTCAAAGCCAGGTGCGGTGGTACATGACTGTTATCCCAGCTACTCAGGAGGCTGAGATGGAAGGATCTCACACTCATGCCCAGCCTGAGCTACACGGAGACAATCTTATAAATAAAATCTTATAAATAAATAAATAAATAAATAAATAAATAAATAAATAAATAAATAAATAAATG